ACACTGAGCATGCGTACTAATTTACATGCTGGATGAAGAGACTTTAACTAACTATTTAATAGAATAGTAATGCATATGTATTAGGAAGATGAATATGGTAATGTCAAGTGTTTAAATGACTGTCTATCTGTGAACAAGGTATGCTGTCTTGGGACAGACACCCATATTTGCATAAATATGTAATAAAATACCTCTGCTCTGTGTGTACTGCACACCAGGTAAACGAACCCAAATTTTCGGGACACTAACATCTCACAGATGCACGGCAGACGATGGGAGTCTAATCCACAGATCTCTGCTTAGCTGTTAGCTGTGTTTTGACCTTTTCTCTCTCTGTGACCTACTTTCATTTATTTCACACATGCAGGAAGCTTTGGTGAGAGAGTAGACAGGTCAGTGAGCCACGGGATTTGTCTCTTGTCGCTTGGTCTCTTACTTTCTAACAGCTGCAGAGGACCAGGGTTCAAGGCTTTGGATACATACGCGAGCAGATGCTTTGTCTTTGAGCAAGTCTCCTGCTAATTGCAAGGAAGCGACGGGACCAGCACACAGGAGGCTCAGCTCTTGGAATAAGGAGCAAGCCAGCCTTGTGATTATCCAGTGGACCCCATTTAGATCATCAGGAGTACCTGGTCAGTGCTATTAGTAGTGCCCTTAGAGTTTCAGATTTTTTTTTTTATTTTTTTTTTTTGGTGTAAAAAGTCAATTTGATGATAATGAAACCTACAGCTCCTTCAAGACAGACACCCTCCCTTAGTTATCCCTGAGCAAATACTTCGTAGATGCAGCAGAAGCTCCAGCCCCCACTGTGCCTTCCCCTCAGAGGGAGAAAGCCTGACCCCAGCCACAGTGTCCTGGGTTCAGCTGGGACAGGGTTAATGTTCACAAGCAGCTGGTTGGGCTGACCCAAACCAGCCAATCAAAGGCGATGTTCTACACCATGCAATGTCATGCTCAGTATTTAAGTGGGGAGCTGGCTGAGGGAAGGAGATTTGCTACTCAGGAGCAAGCTGAGCATTGGGTGGTGAGAGCATTGCATGCTGTATATTCTTTTTATCAGTGTTGTTGTTATTTTCTTCTCCACTTGCAATTCTGTTAAACTGTTTTTATCACAACCCACGAGTTTTGATGTTCTCTCTGATTCTCTTCCCCATCCCACCAGGGAGGGAGGAGGAGTGAGAGAGCAACTGTGTGGTTCTTTGTTGCCAGCTGAGGCTAAACAACAACACACAGTCACCACCACAGCAAGTCAGCAACTCTGTATGATCCCAGATCTTGCAACAACACGTAATTAATACTTGGATCATATCACTAACTTTTATTTAGCAGGTTTTTCACTTCTGAAAGTGATGACTAGGCTGGCTAAATGTATGGAGCTACACCTCACATGCTTATTTTCCAGAAGGATACCTGGAAAGGCAAATAGCAGCTCTTCCACCAAAAAGTTTCCTTAGAAATTTGTTATTCCTCGTGACAGACTCCTGTGAGAATTAAGATTGCTCAAATACTAATACAGGTAACTTTGAAGGAACAACTGGGCAATTGACCTGAGAAGCAATGCTGAGATCTTTCATAGCTGAAGCTGAGATGTTTCAAACAGTTTAGTTTTCTGCAAGGACTTGTCTTGGGATACTGAAACCAAATTCTCACAACACAGGATAATGGACTGGGAGACTGTTCACCCATGAGCAAAATAAGTGAATGGATTGACGTTTCTGTTGTTCTCCCCTTTGCCTCTCCCACCCAAATGCATACAAAGGACCAAACCAATAAACTGGGTGAAAAACGCATGGTTCATCAGCTCTCATTATCTACTTTTTCAAAGGACTAAAAGAACAACATCAACAGCACAACCTTGATGAATGCATGCTATTTTATATCAGGGTTAGCTGTGCTTCAGAGCAAATATCTGTGGTATGAATCATTTGGCTAATTTCACTGGCATTTGACAACTCACATATTTACCAAGCACTATTTATCTAGCTAGAACCGAACAGTGCAGAAAATGTGATAACTACAAACGCAAAATGCTGGTGCAATTCAAATCCCACATGCATGGAAACCACTGCACCACATGCTTTTATTCTTGACTGATTCCTTCATTTAAGATGCCCCTGACACACACTGGCGAAGCAGAGGCCACAGTGGTTTAGGAACTGAAGAGGACTAAAACTCCTCTTTTCAGACTGGTTTGGATTAGATTTTTGACCATATAGTCTGGGGACAGTTATGTCCGGCAGGGACCAATTTTCCTAAGCATTTCAGTAAGAAAGCTCAGAATTTTGAAATGCTTGCTGAGAGGCTCACAGTGGCAGTGCTGGTGCTCAATGCCAGGACAAATGCGTTAAAGCAACTGGCTGCAAGCTGAGGCTGAGGAGGAAATGACCACCAGCCTCCTCGGGCCAGGCAGGACAGGCGAGCGCCCCGGCAGCCAGCACCCAGGCTCTGAGAATCGGCCTTTCCAGCTGCAACACCCATGTTGAACCCAGACAAAAAGCAATGACAGCCCAACAAGTCCTGTTCTGTTCTGGGTTACGTCCAACGCAAATAACTGAAGCACTCTGCGGAAGAAATTGGAAGCAGAGAAAGATGATCAGTTCTGCGTATTTGCTAATAGTTTAAACTTTTACCGTAGTAAGAATATTCCATCCTTTCTGCAAATGTTTGGTTTAGTCCAAGCTAAATCCCAGATTTGGTCCTCTTTCTTTTTCTGTTATACTTTTTAAAATGCAATTTGTTTCTCCTAAGAAACATTCATGTTAAGAAATAATTAACAGAGTAACAAAAATATCAGTTTATAGACATAAGCAATGCAAACAGAACTCACTTTAACTGACATTCATGGTATAACCTTCAAAACTGTTAATGTCTCTATGTCTTCAATCTGAACAAAAAAGGAATATATAATAAGTCAGGAGATTGTTAATGTAAATATTAGGATTCTACTTCAGTGTACAAAATCTGACATAGAAAGATTACACCTAACGCAGCTAATTCCACCTTGAGTTTAATTAAAATTGTTTCATTATTTCAGTACAAAACATTTCTGTGTCAAGGTAATGATTATGGTGATGGTATTAATGCAATCAAGGGGGAGTGTACTGCCTACATACTAAACTTTTAATAGTTTTTTAATAGGTTTTTTTAATAATTAATAGAGAAGAATTAAGGTTTCTGACAGCTTAGATGGTTAGGAGCTTTCCTAACTGAAGTTGACTAGGAAGGGTATTTGGCTTCTGACACACTGGGCACATGGGTTTCTGTCCTTTGGAGAGCAAGGAAACACATCTAACACTGCAGTTGGTCATCATGACAGGCTTTATCTGGACTGAGTAATGATGTGGTCTTGCTCCACGGCAACTTATCTATTATTTTTCTGGCCACGTCATTCTGCTTTCAGCTGCTTCACATGTCTCTGTACAACTCAGTGAGGGTAACGATGTAAATTGGACCCTGTGCCATGTACAAACCCAAGGTTCATAAGAAATCCTTTACATAATTTCCTAATGAATATTTTAAAAAGTAAATCGGTGTGAGATTAGGAAACAGTCTCCTCCATTCTGACTTCCACGCCCCAGGTCTCAGCCGATGAGGGAGACAGGCTCAGGAAATCCACCTCTGAAAGCTACCCAGCACATTTGGACGGGGACCCCCTGTGCTCAGGGAGATCCCTTTGCTGTTGCTTGCACCTTCTCCCAGCCACAAGAAGGGAAGCGGAGGCCAGGGCCCATCCCTCAGCAAATATTTGACTTTGCATTCACAGCTGCAAGGAAGAACCAAGAGAGACCCGTGACACCTCAGCTGCAGCTTGTCATGTCTCATGGGAAGAGTGAAACGATCATAAACACAGGGAATGGAAGATCCTGCGGTTTAAACCCATCCTTCCCACAACAGCACAGCTCCTGCCCCCTAACCAGCCTCCTACTGAGACTTCCGTGTGACAAGAGGGGTGCCTGCGGAGGGAAGGGAACTTCACTGGGGAAATGGGTGAGCAGGCCTGGACTCTTGGAGAGACGATGACTTAGGGGATCACAAGTGAAAGAGAGGGTGGGTAGGGCTACCTGTGCACTCTCTGCCTTCAGTTACAAGAACTAGGCTGATGGAAGCAAAACAAACAGGAGGAGGTGGTTTGCATCGCTCCTTGCCAAAGGGTAATGTGGCTGCTCAGGTATCACTGGAGTCAGCGGGCATCTGGACAGGTGTCTGGAAAAGACCTCCGTTGGGGGTCCTTGCAGGCTGGGAGCCCTTTAGTTGGAACCACCTGGGCTGCTCTTGAACAAATCTGTTCCAAGAAATGTTGCCTGTTAGTTTTGCAATAGCAGGTTTTACGGTGGTCACACATCATCCACGCCACCGCACCAGTTTGATGAAGTATCTCAGCAGCTGCGGAAAAGCAGCACAAAAAGGGCATAAACTAATTATTGTGTACCCTAATTTGATAGCAACGCAGTCATGTGCCACCCTTGATCCGGATCAAGTCCCAGCAGACAACTAAGCAGTGACCTGGCATCGATCGCTACGGGTATGACCGCCAGCTCACACAGGCTTGAAAAGTTCCTGAGAGAAAACCTGTGCTGCGGGACCCGGATGCGCGGCCGGCACCTCCCGCAGCGGCTCCCGTGTCCCCTGTGTTTGTCCCTGGCCCTCGCCAGCAGCTCCCGCTCTGCTGAAGTCCAAGGGCTTCCTCCCAGGACCCTTCCTGGCGCAGGCACGGTGGTCATGGGTTGACGGTTGGACGTGATGATCTCAGAGGTCTTTTCCAACCTTAATGATTCCATGATTCTGCAGGTCTCGTGCCGGCAGCTCCTCAGGCAGATTTTAACCCTCAGCCCGATTTTAAATTGATTTTTAAATGAATTCTTCCCGCCAAAGCGTCGGAAGGGATCGCGCCCCGCGAACACGTGAAACGCCAGGAGGCGTTGGATGACGTATTCCCAAGCCTTGTGAAAACACGCTGCGGTTTTTCTCGTCTTCAAGGCGACCCAGTCGAGCCGTTCGCCATGACGTGAAGAGGGCCCAACGCGGCCCGCCTCCACC